ATTAAGTGGGAAAGATTCTTATCTGAGGGTTACTAGACTTTTCTATCTGAGGGGAAAAATAAACAAGCACACACTTCCTGCTGGTAATCTAAGAAAAAGGACCAAGCATACACTTTTGTAATGGTGACCTCCTCTTTTACTTCATTTTTTATAGTCTCTCTTTCTTGACAATCTCTCTTCATATATAAACATTACTCTCCTGCCCAGTACATATATTTATATTCAATTACAGTTACAAATCTCCACACAGCCACAGCCACACAGCTCATTTACATATGGTCTCATCATACAGCACTTTACACAGTTTTTAGGCACAGCTTCTATGGCAGCAGCTCTTTCGCACAGCTCTCTCTCACACTCACTCACAAATCTACACCATTCATTCTTTACTCACTCACTCTCACTCACTCACTCATTCTCTCACACTTTGCTCATGCTTCTTCTTCTTCAGCTCTCACACTTCTCTCTCCCATAGCAGCCTTCTGCACATCTCTGCCTTCTGCCTCTGTTGCCCTTATCGCTGTTCCTTTACTCTCTGCCTCGCCACCCCTCTCTCTTGCCTCTCCTTTGCTCTCCTTCCCTGCCTTCTCACTCTGCTTCACTGCCTTTTCCTCTGGCTTTTCTCTCCCACAGCCAAACTCTGGACAATTGTAAGTTACATTTTAAGGACCCAACCCCTTCTCCAAACCCAAGATAATTCATGTAGTTTCTCTCAGGCTAGGAATGTCACAATGATCTATGCCTGTAGCTCTAAGTTGGTGAGGGTTCCCAGACAGAAAATAACATTGCAAATCAAGACTTAACAATAACAATTAGTTAGCTGGACCTTGAGCATGAGACTGGGACTGCATGCTAACTAAAGTACTTTCAAGCTCTGGCTTTGAATCAGCATAACAATACCTGGGAGAATGACCTGTGTATTTGTTTCTAGGGGCAACCAGATATTGTATCTAGGGGCAACAAGATATTGTCTCCAGGGGCAACCAGCCTGCTTTGAATTTGCTCTGGAGTCTAAAGTTAGCTTGTTTGATGGGGGATGTTCTTCTGCATGCGGTGAATATGTTTCTCTTACTGGCTGTTGAATAAATGCTGATTGGCTAGTAGCCAGGCAGGAAGTATAGGTGGGGTGACTTAGACTAGGGAAGCTGGGAATAGGGACACAGAGGAGTGGCCAGGGGAGATGCCATGTAGCCACCAAAGGAGTAACACACTGGAGCATTACAGGTAAGTCACAGCCTCATGGCAACACATAGTTTTTTTTTTTTTTTTTAATTTAAATTAGAAACAAGCTTCTTTGACTGGTCAATCTCAGGTCCCTCTCCCTTCCCTCCTTTGCTGTCCCCAACCAAACCCCCTATCTCAGCCCCTTTCTGCTCCTCAGGAGGGTGAGGCCTTCCTTGGGGGATCTTCAAAGTCTGTCATATCATTTGGAGAAGGGCCTAGACCCTCCCCAGGGGAAACACATATTTTAATAGAAATGGGTTAATAACAAAGAGAGAGCTAGCCAATTAAGAAGCCTGAGCCATCTGCCAAACAGTTTATAATCAATATAAGCCTCCGTGTGTTTATTTGAGATTAAGGGGCTTTAGGACCAGGTGGGACAGAAACTCCGACATCACTTGTCTGTGTAAAAGATTGTCTTTGTGACTGAAAATCCCTTGTCAGTCTGAGTAAGGTAAAAATAACCTAGTATTATTTCCTTTTATCAGGATCATCTTACTGACCACCCACAGCTATATGTTAGGACAGATCAAGATTTACAAACTAGATCTTTCATACTCAAAGAAGCTGACTTCAGAACTCTTCCAATGTATGCATTAGACTGCTAGTTCTCAACCTGGTGGTCATGACCCTTTTTGGGCCCAAAGGACCCTTTCACTAGGGTCACACATCAGATATCCTATATATCAGATATTTATATTACAAGGTCTAACAGTAACAAATTACAGTTATGAAGTAGCAACAAAGTAACTTTTCAGTTGGGAAGGTCACCATCACATGAGTAACTGTATAATTGGGTCACAGCATTAGGAAGGTTGAGAACCACTGCACTAGAGCAATATAAATATAAATAACTCAACAATTCAATAGCTATTAGAAGCTCAGGAAAAGCTAAGAGACAGTCTGCATTTTTAATGGGTCACTGTCATAAAATACAGAAATTACCTCTAGCAAGTATTTTGTAGTTGACTTCTCCCAATTAGAATGAAATGTTTGAGGATAATAATCTACCATATAATATCAAAAGTTGTAACCAGTGTTTACAATAGTACTTGGCATTGAAATATTAATTCAATTGTTAATTGAATATTGAATTGTCTTTGTTGCAATGTATTTCTGTTGCATGTTAGTTCATGACATGGTCTTGATATGTAGCCTGAACACAGGCTTCTCATCAGGATGGCTACCAAGGATATCTTTTTTGTAGGAGTTGTGCCTAGAGAAATAATGGCTTTCATTTTAAGGTTGTTTTCTGACTTTTGCCTGTTTCCTTCTTTTTAAAACATATTTTCATTTATTCCTTAAGAGTTTCATACATGTCTGCAATGTTTTGTTACGATATACCCGTACTGTACTCTCCAACTCCTTCTAGCATCCTGTACTTAGTGTCTATGCTGCATAATTTTATGTCAATTTAACACAAACCAAAATAAGCTGATAGGAGGGAACATTGACTGGGAAAATGCCTTCATAAGACATTTTCTCAATTATTAATTGATGAGGGTGGGGCATCCCATTGTCCCTGGGGCGATCACTTGGCTGGTAGTCTGGATTCTCTATAAAAAAGAAGGCTGAACAAGGTAAAGGGAGCAAGATAGTCAGCTGCACCCTCCATGGTCTCTGCATGAGCTCCTGCCTCCTGATTTTACAGTTTGAGTTCCTGTCCTGACTTCCTTCAATGATGGGCTACAATGTGGAAGTGGAAGCCAAGTAAACCCTCTCTTCCTCAACTTGCTTTTGGTCATGGTGTTTCATTGCAAAAATAGTAAGTCTACCTAAAACAATGTCCTCTTCATTTTTAATTATTTCTACAGCCCAGTGAATCAAATTAATCTGGCCAGATACGTTTGCAAGTAGGGCCACTCATCAGAGCATGCACAACTTACCAGGGTCTTAACTGAATAAACTAACTTTTACCTCAGAATGTTTCATTACCAATAGCTAGGGTGGAGCCCTGTGAGCCCTCCCATGTCAGGTGCTGGAATGTTGACTGGTTTGATCTTGTAGGAATCGGTCAGGTACTACAACTGCTATGAATTTATGTGTGCAATGGCCCTGTTAGAGAACAAGAGTCACTGTTTTATAGCAGTTCTCCCAACCTCTGACTCATAATCTTTCTGCCTCCTCTTCTCTCATGTTCTCTGAGCTTTGAAGATAAAAGGTTAGACATAGATGTCTCATCTAGGATGCACATTCTACAGCCACATATTCTTTGTGGAAAACACTATGGAATTTAGTGTAGAGGTTTCTCAAAAGGCAGAGCCAAATCATGTGAACCAGATATACAGCTCTTAGTCATATACTCTCTGGCGGTTTGAATAAAAATGACTTTCCTGGGCTCATATATTTGAATGCCTAGTGAGAGTGAAACTCTTTAATAAAATAAGGAGGACTAGGAAATATGGCATTGTTGGAAGAAGTGTGTCACTCGGGTTGGGCTTTGAGGATTTCAAAAGCTCATACTTGGCCCAGTGTTTCTCTCTTTGTATCTTGACCCATGGATAAGGACATGTCTCTCAGCTACTACTCCTGCATTACACTTGCCTGCCCCTATAGTCCCTGCTGCTATGCTTGCTGTCTTGATGATAATGGACTAAATCTGGGAAACTGTCACCAAGCCTCCAATTCTAAGCTTTCTTTTATAAGAGTTGCCTTGGTACTGGGAGATGGTGGTGTACTCCTTTAATCCCAGCACTAAAGAGACAGAAGCAGGTGGATCTCTTTGAATTCAAGGCTAACCTGGTCTACTAAGGGAGTTCCATGACAGGCTCCAAAGCTACACAAAGAAACCCTGTCTCAAACCAAAAACAGAAAAACAAAAATAAAACAAAAAATAAAGAGATATCTTGGTTATGGTGTTTCTTTACAGTACTATAACAGTGAGTGACTAAGACAGATTCTATATCCCAGTACTGAGATTCTTGGTCATTTTTCCTTGTTTTGAATGCATTAGTGTATGCATTATTTCATTTTGCTATTTAAATACTCTAAAACAAACAGGTAATAATGGTTTTTTTGTCTTCTATCGAATGTGTTTTCTCTGAGTATCCTATCCCTTTATTTGCAAATTCATGTTTATGGTCACTGCTTGCTTAGTTATCCAAGAAACTTCTTTCCATGTTTAAAAGCCGAGTCCTATTCTTAGATGAACATTCAAGAAAACTATGATTTACATATTATGTCACAAGACAAGCAACTAATGCAGTAAGCAAAGGAATTGAAGAAGAGGTAGTATTTATAAAGTGTGAGTAATTGTGGTGATATTTTGTTTGTGATCTGACAAATAAAGCTTGCCTGAAGATCAGAGTGTGGAGCTAAGCCACTAGTTAACCATAGAGGCCAGGCAGTGGTGGTACACACCTTTAATCCCAACACTTGAGAGGCAGAGGCATATAGATATCTGTGAATCAAGACCACCTTGGGCTACTCCATAGTGATTCAATTTAAAAGACAGAGCTCACACCTTTGATCCCAGCACTTGGGATCACACACGTTTAATTCCAGCACTGTGGAGGTAGAGACAGGAATGATAAGACTGGATGGAGAGAGAAATATAAGGCAGGAGAAGTCAGGAGCTCTGAGCATTCAGTCTGAGGATTCCTAGAGACAGGATCTCCCATTCGGTCTGAAGATTTGGCAGAAGTAAGAACTAGTGGTTCCTGCCATTTCGTGCATGCCAGGGAACGGAGAGCATCATCTGAAGCAGATCCAGAAGTGTGCCAATAGGCCTGTCGAAGTATTGGAATTTGAGCTTCGGTGTTTGAACCCAGGATCTTGTAATGCATCTTGATTCCTGTCCATTAGATTGTAAGGTGTATGTAGGTAATCTTGGAAACAATGCGAACAAGACTGAACTAAAGTGGGCTTTTGGCTATTATGGACCACTTCGAAGTGTATGGGTTGCTCGTAACCCTCCTGGCTTTGTCTTTGTTAAATTTGAGGATCCCCGAGATGCCACTGATGCTGTCCGAGAGCTGGATGGAAAAAGACTATCTGGCTGCCGTGTAAAAATGGAACTGTCAAATGGGGAAAAAAGAAGTCTCAATCGTGGCCCACCTCCCTCTTGGGGTCAATACCCTCGAGATGATTACCGAGATGATTACCGTAGGAGGAGTCCTCCACCTCAGCGAAGATCTCCAAGAAGGAGAAGATTCTCTCGAAGCCGAAGCAGGTCACTTTCTAGAAACAGAAGAGAAAGGGCTGTGTCTCGTGAGAGAAACCACAAGCCATCTCGATCCTTCTCTAGGTTTTGTAGCCGATCCAGGTCACATGAAAGGAAGTAGAAGACCTGTTTGCTAAAGAAGTGGTGTACAGAAAATAACTTCATTTGACATGAGTATGTACAGGAAATTCAAGTTTTGTTTGAGACTTCATAATCTTGGTGCATTTTAAAGGTATTCTGGCTGTTCAAATTTGCTTTGAACTTTAGTTTTTCATAGACTGAAATAAACCTAGATCCTGCCCAGTTAAAGTGTGACATGCTAATGATATAGAAACCACTTGCAGAAATGGAACAAAGCTCTAGTTTGTCTAAAAGTTGGGCTACCGTGTGGAGCTCTGGGTAAAATGATGGACAGCCTTTAAAAACTGTTAGTGAACACCAGCTAAGAGGTGGGAACTGCACACTGAAGGCTTTCAGAGATTCTTTACTGATTGCTATATATGGACGCAAAGCTGTAACATTATTTGGAAATGAAAGACTTTAAGTTACCGGTGTCCTATCAATATAAGGGTATATTGTAGAGCTGAACCTTTGAGTTACTGTGCAAGATTTCTTTTTCATGCTGTCATTTGTAATATGTTTCTGACAATCCTTGGGATTAAAGTTTTGGTTAAAATTGTTGTTTAACTTGAAAGCCTGTTTTTCCTTGCATACTCAAATCTGTGATCTTGGTATCAAGTCCAAATATAACATTCCTATTGGAAGCCACACTTATGTTTTCTTGTAAAGTGCTTTTGGATTAATAAAATACAAGCATGAAAAAAAGAAAACTGTGGTTTAGTGTTAAAAGAAAATCAAAGATAATTATCTTTGGTTTCTTTATTTTATAATCACTTGAATTTAGAAGCAAGGATGGCAACAGAGTGAGGACTTGACTTTCTTGTCCTTGCTAGTGTTTCTACATCACTGCCAATTAGACTGGTCTTCAATTCCTATCGCTCTGGTTTTCCATTTTTTTAATGTTTCTTTTTTATTTGACTTAGAAAAAAGATTGTTTTACATGTTAATCCCAGTTCATACTCCCCCCCCTTATCACTCCCCCAACTAAGACCCTACCTATCACATATCCTTTCTGCTCCCCAGGGAGGATGAGGCCCTCCTTAGGGGGTCATCAGAGTCTATCATATCCTTTGGGATAGGGCCTACGCCCACCCCTGTGTGTCTTGGTTCAGGGAGTATCCCTGTATGTAGAATAGGCTCCCAAAGTCCACATTTATGCTAGGGATAAGTATTGAACTTATCTATAGGAGGTCCTACAGATTTACGAGGTCTCCTCACTGAAACCCACGTTCCTGGGGTCTGGATCAGTCCCATGCTGGTATCACAGCTATCACTCTGGGGACCAAGAGCTCCCCATTGTTCAGGTCAGCTGTTTCTGTGGGTTTCACCAGCCTGGTCTGGACCCCCTTGTCCATCACTCATTGTTCTCTGCAACTGGATTCCAGTTCAGTTCAGTGATTAGTTGTGGTTGTCTGCTTCTACTTCCACCAGCTGCTGGATGAAGGCTATAGGATGACATATAAGACAGTGATCAATCTTGTTATCAGGGCAGGGCATTTAAGGTAGCCTCTCCTTTGTTGCTTAGATTGCTAGCTGGTGTCATCTTTGTAGATCTCCAGACCTTTCCCTGGTGCCTGATTTCTCCGTAAACCTAAGATGGTATCTCCTTTCTTGTTATCTTCTATTCTTCCCCTGACTCAACCTTTCTGCTCCCTCTTGTCCTCCTCACCCCTTCTCTTCTCCCCTTCTCATTATCCTAGCTCCCTCCCCCCTCCCTTGCTTCCAATTTGCTCAGGAAATCTTGTCCCTTTCCCCTTTTCCAGGGGACCATGTATGTCTCTCTTAGGGTCCTCCTTGTTTACTAGTTTCTCTGGCAGTGTGGATTGTAGGCTGGTATTCCTTTACTCTATGTCTAAAATCCACAAATGAGTGAGTGTTAGATTTTTGCTTAAATTAGAAATAAAGAAGAGGAAGAAGCACAAGATGAGACAGGAGACTATTAGACATACTAGACATATTAACCAGTTTGTTATATGTCCAGCAGAGTAAAGAGACTAAAAATGAAGAGAAAAAGGGTTAATGGCTGACCGCCATGGCCGGCCACCATAGAGAGGCAGAGAGAAGAGAAGCAGAAGCAGACAGAGAAGAGAGGAGTAGGGAGGGCGTAAGTGGATTGGGGTCTGTTTTTAAAATAAAGGGATCCTTTGCATCTGCATGCAGACTTAGTTCCCATGGATCCCTGGGCTGACCTGGTACTGCCTGAGCGGATTCTGACAGGTAACAGACAGGTCAGCATAATGCCTGAACCTTTCAATCCCACCTTTACTTATTATTATTAAAAAAAATAAAGGTGGGGTATTGGACATGGCATATTAGGGAATAAGGGCTGAATTGGATTCAAACAGACAGGTCAGATTCACTCCAGTTATCCAATCTTTCCCTGGTCCCACGACTCCCTTCCCTCATGTTGGGACCCCTTCTGGAACCTCTCCCTCATCTTACAATCTTCCCCTCAAGTGACAGGACCCAAGAAAATTTTTTTTTCTGAACTTAACCTTGTCCTCTGCTCTGCCAACATCTTGCCAGGTCTAAGGTGCCAAGGAATTCCATACAGCCTGAACTGCGATGAAACAATCAGCTACCCCAGGACATGGCAGCACCCCAACTTTCCCAGGTCCCCCAAAGATGGTCAATGCCCTCCACGTCAGCAGGAAGCAGTCTTGGTTTTCCATTTTTGAGGGACTTCCTGCATCAAAGGTCTTGCAAACATCTGTAGCAGAAATGAACAGCGAAACATGTTTTCTTCCATCTGTTTGAATAGAATGCATATACTTACCTGAAAATTAACATTGAAAGAACTACAGGTGTATGTCTGTTACCACGGAGAACGACCTTTTAGTATCTTTAGCTGCTCCTGTCAGTTAGTCATGCTTTTTTCATCTGTGCTGCCATATAAGAGTTTGTCATGCTTTTTTTCTAGAAGTTTTCCAAATTCAAGCTTGACACCATTTTCAAAATCCTGTTTTAAATCAGAAGCATTTTAAGGTACTACCTCCTTTGACGTGGTTCAACAATTATTCAATGTCTATACTCTGCTACATGGCATAATATAACTTAAAATACTATTTCTTTCAAAAATTTATTTTCTTCTTTGTTAGATTTGCCAAATTTGGTCGTCATTGTTGACATTTCAGATGAGGCTCCATATGTTAATTATGCTGGCAAGCCTTTTCTGATGACTCCTGTAGATTTTGCTCTCATTGTTCTTTGTTATAATAATCTATTATGACTACACCTACCATGTGTCTCATATATATATATATATATATATATATATAGTGATTGCATTTTTGTTATTTAAGCTGTAGGTCTGTCTCACTCACTAAGCTGTCTGGATAATTTTTATTGCTTTGTTAGCTATAATTGACGGACCAAAAATTCAAATTAATAAAAGTTTAAAAACTTAGGCCCTGGAAGGCAACATCTAATGATAAAGGAAAATTTAACTCCTTAAATCAGGAGTGCATGACTGGCACCTGATCACCTGCTCTCAGAGAAGGAGAGGTAACTGTCCAACACTCCTATTAACATTCTTTGCTAACTGCTGGTCATAAAGATCCCCCAGCCCGGGCAATAACTGACAGACCCTGTGACTCTGTAACCCTGAAAGTCCATGCCCTGCCTTATCTCAGACAAATGTACCTCCCTTAAAATGTATATTTACTGACTAACTCTGTACTTTGTATGACCTTAAGTCACCATAGAAACTCTGTAATTTGTGGCCTTCAACCTTAGGGTCTGCCCCTTTAAAAGCTTCTCTTTTTGACTGGTTGGCATCTCATTTGCCCGCAATGCAGTGAGATCCTAGCTAGCCAGCTTGAAATAAAAAGAAACCTTTTGCTTTTGCATCAGAGTGTGGACTCCTTGTGTTATTTTCTGGGCTCTGTGAACCTGGCACAATAGTAATATTTTTAAAAAATTTAGTGGCTCTGTATTCTGCTTTGCCCCTGTAGACAGCTATGTTTCAGTCTAGTAAATGTATGTCCTAATGTAACAAAAGATGAACATGAGCTTCATTGGTTGTCTTAATCCTGTTAATTACCAACACACTCTTTGGTCTTTAACCGTTTTACTTTTTATCAGTAAATGAAGGTGTTGGTTTAAGCTACTATTGTGAGAATTAGATGAGCTAACAGACGTGAAGTGTTTTGTATAGAATTGAGAATTGGGTTTTGTCCTTGACTTTGCCAATGGTGAGCTACATGAGCAATACTTTAAGGAAAATGGCCATCTAGTACTGTGCAATTTGTTAGAGATGAATTTGTTTATTAAAGTGCCAAATCTAAGATATTTGTGTTTTAGTTATAGCTAATAAACAAGAGAGGTAAACTCATTTGCCTGCATCTTTTAACGTTTTCTTGCTGGCTTCTCTGGCTCACGTGAAGGAATTACTGAAAACAAATTGTATGGTGGTGGTGGTGGGGTTGCTGGATCTTTGCTCCTCTTCCCACTGTGGACACATTGTAATCTTTATCTGCTTTCCACTTTTAATTTGTCTCTATTACTTGGCTTTATTGAGGACGGGTAGCTAGATCTGCTTGGAGTTCAGAATGTGATCCCAAGTTTGATAGTCAACTGACAATCATGAAGGGTAAAAGACTTCTTTGTGGTGTCTGCCACTCACAGTGAGCTTACCTCAGAGAGAGGAAAGATAGAAGTTCCAAGTAGATATTAGAGTCATTTTACTTCCATCTTTCTACTTCAAAAGGCTTCAGCTGCTTAAGCTAATTGGGGCATGGGGGGAGTTGAGAGGGAGGTAGAAGAAAGAGAAGGGGAGAAGAGGAGGGGAGAGGAGAACATGAGGGAGCAGGAAGATGTAGTCAGGGGAAGAATAGAGGAGAGCAAGAAAAGAGATACCATAATAGAGGGAGCCATTATAGGTTTAAAGAGAATTCTGTCACTAGGGAAAGGTCCAAAGATCTACAAGGTTAACCCCAACTAAAAATCTAAGCAATTGTCAAAAGGCTACCTTAAATAATGAGATAGATGATGACTTTTTAT